CGTGGCCAATTTTTTTTTTTTTTTGGTGGTGCGCATGCCCAGAGGGCAGGAAGGCGCAGGCTTCTAGTAAAGTGAGCGGAACTAGAAGCTGCGAACCTCTAGAGTGTAACAGCTGACAACTTGGGGATGATCTTGGGCACCCTGTGGAAAACGCTTTGAGTGCCTTAGTCATTAATAGAGTAGAAATTTGAATAAAATGGTGATTGATAAGGAAATTGAAGCTATAAGTGTGTCCCTAGGTGAGGCGAGCCAAGTCAGATCTACAGGCATTTTCTGATCAGACCTTGAGCAAGGCGAACTATAAGAAAACTAGAAAAGGTGGTTGACAAAGGTGGTCCCCCCAGAATACACTCTCTGGGCTGGGTGTACATACAGCATTCTAGTTGAGCAGGTCGGTTACCTGCCAAGAGACCCTAGGAAAGTGGGTTCACCTTAAGCCATACTAAAGAAATAGGTGGACTAATTAGTGCTTTAATCAGATATGGAGATTTTTTCTTGCCTGGAATTCCAACCCCTAGAGCAGAACTTAGCAGGCTGCATGTAGCTTCATATCTTCCCACTTTTCTAAATTCAGAAAGTGGAACCTCTCTTTTTCTTCTAGCTCTTTTATTTCTTTTTAAAAAATGATTTATTTTTATTTGTACAAGTGCTTTGGTGGCTGGTATGTATACTGGTATGTGTATATGCCCTCAAAGGCCAGAAGAGGGGGGTACAGCCACCCTGTGAGTGCTGGGAGTGGAACTCAGGTCCTCTGGAAGAACAGCAAGTGCTCTTAACCCCTGAGCCCCCTCTCCAGCCCCAGTCTAGCTCTTTTCTAAGCATGCTTTCTCTAACACTTTGTGCTTGCACAACATCTTTGGGCTTCCTTACTCTTTCTCTGAAGCTCCCTTCCCTGCCATGTGGCTGTTAGTCCACCTTGTGCCTGACCTTCCTGTCAACGTACCTCATGGCTTTTTCCTTCCCTTCTCCATTCTCCTCCTAGTTGCTGAAATTTACAGCTTACCTGCCCTGAGGATTTTTTCTTTTAAACGCTAATAACATTGTTCTAAAGCTTCCATTTGAGTCCATCCTTAAAGTCTTTTATTAATGAGACTAGGAACCCTAAGAAGGGACACCATTTCCCTCGTCACTTAAGACTGTAATAAAATAATTGGTGTTTGCCAAAGGCCCGCTATCAAAATAATTTTGTTGGAAAAAGGCAACAAAACTACTGTGGCTTGTGAATACATTATTCCATAAAATTTTTTTAAAAACCATTTTCAGCCAAGCGTGGTGGTGCACGCTTTTAATCCCAGCACTGGGGAGGCAGAGGCAGGCAGATCTCTGTGAGTTCAAGGCCAGCCTGGTCTACATAGTGTGTTCCAGGACAGCTGGGGCCACAGGGAGACCCTGTCTCAAAAAGACCAAAAAATAAAAATAAAAAAACAACAAAAAACCATTTTCATTACTATTTTGAATGTGAGTGTGTGTGTGTGTGTGTGTGTGCACACTAAGGTATGACTGTGGAAGTCAACAGACAGTTTGAGGAATTCAGTTCTCTCCTTCTTTAATGTGGGACCCAGAGAACAAACTCAGTTGTCAAGTTTGGTGGTAGGTGCTTTCCTTTTCTGACCCATCTCACCAGCCAATAAACTAACATTTCGGAAAGACACAAAACTTGTCCATGTTTCTAACTCAGGATACCCAGACTGGCCTGAAACTCAAGATCCTCCTGCCTCTGCCTCATAGGTACTAGGATTACAGGTGTGTGCCACCACACACTACTTGTAAATTTAAAAAAATATATTTTGAGACAGTCTTGCTAAATTGCCCTAGATGATCTAATATTCATTATCCTCACACCTCAGCCTCCCAAGTAGCTGGAATTACAGGCCTGTGCTACTGTACAAGTTTAATGATCTTATTGGAACCCTATTTAGAGCTGGGTCTGGTGGAACATGCCTGGAATCCCAGCACTTGGGGGCTGGAGAGATGGCTCAGTGCAGAGGACCCAAGTTTGGTTTCTAGCACCCATGTTGGGGTGCTCGTAACTGCCTGTAACTCCAGTGTCAGGTAATCCAACATCTTCTGGCCTCTGCAGGGACCCATACTTACATGCACATACCCATACTGATACACATACTTAAAAATAAAACAAATCTTTAAAAAAAAGGCTGTGGGAGCCCATCAGGCTGCTGTGGGTGGGAGTGGAGCTGTGCTTCCTTCATCTGTCCCCTCACTGCTGGCAGTCCTGTGTCTGCTTCCCAAACACTGTCATTACAGCCTGTACTTACCACATCTGGCTTTTAGGTGGAACTTTTATGTTTGATTTATATGAGTCATATAATTCATTTATATGAACTATTCATATAATTCATATGATTATATGTTTGATTTATGTATGTTTGGATAAATTGATCCAAACATTAGAAGGAACATGGTTAGAGAAATAAACAAAACTCATATTTTTTTTGTTTTAAATAACAAAGACTCCATGTTCCTCAAAGAGATGTGCTGAGATGGAGTTCAGGTAAAATATTCTGTTAGTGATTTGCAGTGGGGGAAGCTGGAGTACAACCTACAGAACAAAGGAAATTCTTTACTTCTATAGGTCTTAGAGGGCCTGGGTCCCTGAGCTTAGTTTAGTAATAGGCTAGATAGGATGTAAAGTCATAACTCAGTTTGCTTTGCACTTAGGCAATAGGAAGCTAATTCTATTGTCCTGCTCTGCCTTGGGGCTGCTCGGATCACTTTTTTGTTATCCCCTTTTCCCCATTTCCTTTCTTTTTTTGAGATAGGATCTCAATATGTAGCCCTGGCTAGCCCGGGACTCACTGTGTAGACCAGTCTGGCCTTCAACTCAAGAGATTCACCTGCCTCTGCCTCCTGAGTGCTGAGATTAAAGGTGTATGTCACCACATGGGGCCACTTCTTTTCTTTAAAAAAAAAAATATGTGTCCAACACACCTTTAATCCCAGCACTTGGGAGACAGAGGCAAGCGAATCTCTGTGAAATCCAGGCCAGCCTGATCTACATAGTGAGTTCCAGACCAGCTAGCGCTACAGGAACACCCTGTCTCAAAACAACCAAAAACAACAACAACAAAAAAAAATTGTGCGTGTGTCTGTGCACATGAATATAGTGCCCATAGGAGCCAGAAGAGGGAAGGATTTAGAGCTGGAGTTTCAAGTGGCTGAAAGCTGCCAGATGTGAGTACTGGGAACTGAACTTGGGTCCTCTGGGAAGAGCAGTCCTTTCTCTTAACTGCTGAACTGTCTCTCCAGCCCCTCACTTTCTCTTTATTCATTTTAGGATTGCAGCCTATAAGGTGGGTCTTCCACCTCAGTTAACCCAGTCTAGAAACTCTCACAGACATGCCTAGAGGTTTGTTTCTTGAGTCCAGATCCTCTCAAGTTGACATTATTGACTATCACATCTACCATTATGACAATTATCCAATGTCATCCAGAATCCCTATGAAAGAATGATAGAGTAATACTATGAGGTTAGTAACTTGAGAAAACCAATGTTACTAGGAGAAGCAATGCACATAATTGAAGAAAAATATGTTTCACGAATTAACAAGAAAAGAACTAATCATATACCTGGCTGAGTGGCAATAGCTCTTAACACTAGGGAACAAAACAAGTAAAAAATTTAAAAAAGATCTTAGAGTAATATGATGAAACAAGCATATTTTCACCTCTAGGAGTTATTTCACACGCCACAGATTGTTATGAACTCTATCTTATACTGGTTTGTAAATTCTTCTGCAGTTTTTATCTAGTCCTCTGATTTTCTTAAGTACATCTTTTTTGCCATCTCCACTTGTCCCTTGCATCCAGAGCCAAGATGGCTTTTCTTTTTTTGCATCCCTGAGTTTAGTCCACTATCTTTGAAATTTGTGGTTTGAAAACAGTTTAGGAGTGGTGGTGCAGGCTTTTAATTTCAGCACTTGGGAGACTGAAAGAGGATCCCTGAATTTGAAGTCAGCTTGAGCTATACAGAGACTTTGCCCTGGACCCCAGTTTATTCATTCATTTTGTTTTTGAGACAGGATCTCACATCACCTAGATGGGCCTTAAACTGTATGTAGCTGGGTTATCACCATTAGCTCCTAATATTCCGGACTCCATCTCCAGAATGTTAGGATTCCAGGAGTGTGTCACCATGCCCTGTAGTCATCTTTTCATGTTGAAGATTATGACCGCAAACAGGAAAGACTTGAAGCCAACTGGAATTCTCAAGTTTTTACAAATTTTTCTTGTATAATTAACACGGAGATGGCAGAAAGCAGTTGTTTCTGTTTAAAAAAAAATTTTTTTTAAATTTTATGTGTATTCGTGTATTGCCAGCATGTAGGTAAGTGCAATGTCTGCCGAGGTCAGAAGAGGCTGTCAGATCCCCTGGGACTGGAGTTATGGACAGATGTTAGCTGCCATGTGGGTGCTGGGATGCGAACCCCGGTCTTCTGCAAGGACAGTGTCCTTAACCGCTTAGCCATCTCTCCAACCCCGTTTTTTTTTTTTTAATATTTTGTAATTTTTATGTATATCAGTGTATTGCCTGCATGTACGCAATACATGTGCAATGCTCCTGGAGGTCAGAAGAGAGGGTTGGATCCCCTGAAACTTGGGTTAAGGACTGTTATTAGTCTCCATGTGGGTGCTGGGAACCGAATGAGGGTCCTCTCCAAGAGCAGCTGGTGCTCAGTAACCACTGATTCATCTCTTCAGTTCCTTGTTTCTGGGTCTCGCCGGGCGTGGTGGCACACGCCTTTAATCCCTGCACTCGGAAGGCAGAAGCGGGGGGATCTCTGTGAGTTCAAGGACAGTGAGTTCACTCTGTACAAGGCAGGCTGGTCTCCGACTCACAGCGGTCCTCCTGCCTCAGCTCTGCGTGCTGGGATTACACACGTGAGCCTGACTTTAGGGCGACGTTCCTCTCCAAGCCTCAACTCCGCCTCCCGCGGGGACCACGCCTCGCTCTGCCATCCGCGGCTCCACCACCACCGCCGCCGCAGCGGCCCGGTGGCCGACCGCTAGGACGCGGGATCCTCCCGCTAAGGGAGGCAGAGCTGGCTGAAGCACCGGAAGTTGCCCAAGCCCTCGGTGGAGGGGGCCGGAAATGGCTCGCGCCCCCCTTTGGGAGAAGCGGTGTCGGCCGGCGGCTGCTAGACTGTGGAGGTGGTGCTCCCCGGCGGCCCGGTGACGCCCTAGAGCCGGCCGGCCGCGGCCACGCAGCGGAGCCGGCTTTCCCGCGCGGTCCGGAGCCGACTCCGGCGCGGGGAGGAGTCGGGAAATGGCGGACGAGGCGTTGTTTTTGCTTCTCCATAACGAGATGGTGTCCGGAGTGTACAAGTCCGCGGAGCAGGGGGAGGTGGTGAGTGCTGCCTCGCGCCCGGGGTCCTGCCTCGGAGGTTAGACCGCGCTACTGAAGCTCGGGGCATCTCACGTCCCACAACCTCCGAGACGTCATCTTTCATCCCTTGCTCTTTTGTGTCTGCCTTTTGACTTTTTTCCGTTGTCGTGCAGGGCACAGATTTTTAAAAATTACCGCTACCAGCCTCGAGGCTAACTGTGGAGCTCTTTTTAAATTTCCTGCTTAATTTTCCAGCCCTTCCGAGGAGAAGTGCAGGTCTGTCCCAGCTAGCCTCCTCTCGCTTTCCCTTCTCTTGTTGAAGCCTAGTTGAGGCTTGAGGTCAAAGCAAAGGAAACTTTGCAAGACTGAATTCAGGAAATGTTTATTTAGTGCCCATTATGTCAGAGCTGGTTTTAGGAGCTTGGGGTCCAGTAGTGAATGACCCAGTGGTCCCATCCTGTGGAGGTTGCTTCTGTTTGCGAGGGGGTCTCTTACTGATTTCCTCACATTCACTCATTTTTTATGTGTATGAATGTTTTGCCTTGCCTTTGCATGTATGTAATTTGCACTGCTTGCGTGCAGTGCCCATGAAGGCCAGAAGAGGACGTCGTATCCCTTGGAAGTGGAACTATGGACTTTGTTAGCTGCCCTCTGGGTGCTGGCAACCGAATCCAGGTCCTTTGCCAGAGCATCCAGTGCTCTTAACTGCTGAACCATCTCTCTAACCCCTCTCGTTGATTCTTTTAGAAAACATTTACTAAGCCTGCCTTATGGGACTGAACTTGCTAGATAAATAAGGTTAAGTTCTTCAATCACGGACTAAGAAATAGAGTTTAATGACTTCAGTATTGGGTGGTAATTAGGTTTAGAATCAGAATTGTAATGGGTTTTAGAAATGAGATATTCCAAAGTCTTATTTGGGTCCGAAGCCCCTTCTCTAGTGCTGTCGATAAAGAAAGGTGAAGGATAAGGAGTCCTAGCTAAAGTTAAAGGCATAGAAATACGAAAGAATGGTGACTTTAAATATGTTGGAGGAATAAATGACAAGTGGAAAGAATTGAGAACTGAAGTCAGAGCCTTATATGAGTAAAGAATTTTCATCTTCGCAATGGAGAGGGGATGAGGGGATGGTGTGGTTCATTTGCATGTTATGAAGATAACTCAGTGTTTGGGCTAGAGAGGGAAGATCTATTAGTGAGATGTATTATTGTAGCGGTCAGGGAGGAGATGATGAAAGACTGAATTAAGATAGAGATAGTAAAAATAGGAAACAGGTTTAAGAGGTAGGGACAGAGATTAAGCCTTGCTTAAGTATGAGAATGGGAGTTGAAGTTACCTCCTGGTCTTTACCTTGAGCATCTGGGTTTGATGGTGGCATTAATGAAAAAGGGAATAAAGAGAAGAGATGAGGTGAATATAGTTCTGTGGGGAAAGGTTTAACTTTTCTGGTGTTTAAGAAAAGGCGCTGGCAGTTTGCAAGCTATAAGAAGGATGAGCACGGCACATTTGAAAATATTTGGGAGACACATCAGGACGAAGGCTGAGAATGAAGGAAATTCTGTTCTTAATCAGACCCACATATAACAATTTTTTTCCTCCCATGTTACAAAGTTTTCACTTTATTGTCATCAGTGTTATTTGTTGTTTGTGCAGAACTAGCCTTACCTTAGGACTCTCCTTTACTCCCAAACAGGAATATGCTCCTCTTACTCATCATGAAACTCAACCTTTTTCTTCTCTCCATACTTTGATTTCACTTTTTTCCAGTGGATGAACCTAGAAGAAAACAAAGTTCTACTCTGACAGATTATTGTTACCATATGAGGAAAAAGAAAGCCAAAAGTTTTGAATTGTTTAAAAATATTTTTGTTTTCTTATTGCAAAATGTTTGTAGTTGGGAGGGATAAAAGCTGACCATAGAGCAAAGATTATTTAAAAAATAGGTATGTTGCTGGGCTTGGTGGCTCACACCTTTAATCCCAGCACTCCGGAGGCAGAGGCAGTTGGATCTCTGTGAGTTCGAGGCCAGCTTGGTATTTGATAGTCATGACGACTAGTCAATATTGGAACCTGAATATAAAAGTATACTTGATAAATAATAGCCAGAATTTTGGTTTTATTTGTTTATTTATTTTTGGTCTTTTTGAGACAGTGTCTCCCTGTAGCCCTAGCTGGCCTGGAACTCACTATGTAGACCAGGTTGGCCTCCATTTCAGAGGTCTACTCACCTCTGCCTTCCAAGTGCTGGGGTTAAAGGCATGTGCCACCATGTCTGACCAGAAGTGTTTTCTAATAGATAATAACTTGAACTCAGATCCTCAAGCTTGTGACAAGCACCTTTACACACTGAGCCTTCTTGCCAGTGCATTAAAAACATTTTTTGGACTTTTTTTCTTTGTGGGTGGAGGTGTGCCACAAAGCTCATATGGAGGTCAGAGGACAGTCAGTTCTCTCCTTCCACTATGTGGGTTCTGGGATCAGTTCAGGTCCTCAACCTTGGTAGCCAGCACCTTTACCTGCTGAGCCATCTTGCTGGCCCATTTTTTATTTTTTTTCCCCTAAGCTTGAGGAGTTTTATTATAGTTTAAGAAAAAAAAAACCACAGGGCAGGCAAGCAGTAAATCTCACCAGCTGCCAGAAGGGAAATGCAGAAGAGGAAGAGAAAGCTGTGTGGTTTGCAGTGGTGGTCCACAAGGAGCCACATGACGGAGGAGAGGGAGCTTCAGAGAGAGAGAGAGAGAGAAGGACAGAGTATCTGAGAGAGTAGCTTATCCTGTGGCCAGTGTCTGAGAAAGGGAAAGAGTAAGTTATGCTTTTCTGAGTTCAGCATGCCAGAGACTCCGCAGTGCTGCCTGAGGAAGGGGCTGCAGTGGCTGTCCCAGATTTTTAAATACAGTTTTTGACTTCTGAAACTTTTCTTAAATGACAGGTTTATAATTTGTTGTGTGTGTGTATGTGTATCCCATGGTTCACATGTAGAAGTCAGAGGACAACTTTCAGAATCTGTTCTATCTACCTTATTGGTCCCAGTGATAGAACTCAGGCTGTTAGGCTTGGCAGTAAGTGCCTTTACCTGTACCCAAAGCCCTAGTTAGCTTTAATTGTCAACTTGACACAGCCTAGAGTCATCTGAGAGGAAAGCCTCAATTGAGGAATTGCATAGATCAGATTGACCTGTGGGCATGAGTGTGGGAGGTTGTGCATGCTATTGTGAGTGGGCTTTTCCCTGATTTCTTTCCTGGCAAGTTTGTTATTATGATATAGGAAAGGTACTGACTTTTTAAAAATCGCATTAGTGTGTATGTGTATATATGTACACACACATGTTCATGTCACAGTGCATATGTGGAGGTCAGAGGACAACTTGCTGAAATTACTTCTCTCATCCCAGCATGCAGATCCCAGCCTTGGTGGCAAGTACCTTTGCCTACTGAACCGTCACACTAGCCCTTGGTTTTAATATTTTACAATTTTTTAATACAAACATCTTGGCATTCTAATAGTATTCAAAACTTTTTTTAAAATAGGAAAATGGACGATGTATTACCAAGCTGGAAAACATGGGGTTTCGAGTGGGACAAGGATTGATAGAAAGGTGAGCAGTATGGATTTGAAAATTTTCTTCCAGGTAGGTTATGAACACAGATGATCATTTTGATGATTGCGTAAAACTTGAGATGTTTTAATTCTTGTCCTCTAATTCACAGACTGAAAGTTATTTTTAAAGGGCTGCTGGTGTACCTCAATAATAGAGCATGTGGTTAGCATGCACAAAGCCCTGGGTCCAATCACTGCAAAAAAAGAGAAAGAATTTCTCTTTAGGTCTGATGCTGATGCTAGGTTAACTGTTATTCAAATTATATTGGTTTTTTTTGTTTGTGGACATGGTCTTGATATGTAACCCAGATGGCCTCAGACTGTTGATTCCTCCTGCCTGGCCTCTGAGTACTGGGATTATAACCTGCTCAGCTTCAACATTCATGTTTTAATACTTGAAGAAGATATACTTTATATAGCTAATGTTTTATCCCCTCTGAAAATATTGTATTGGGACATCTGTTATTAGTACATTGATACACCTGTTTAAAATGTCGTTGCATTTTCTACTTATGATCTAGTTCTTTCTTTTTTCCCCCCTTTCTTCTTTTTCCTTCTAGACAGGGTCTAACTATGTAGCTCTGGCTGGCCAGGAACTCATGTAGACCAGGCTGTTCTTGAATTTACAGAGATCCTCCTGCCTCTACCTCCTGAGTGCTGGGATTAAAGGCATGCACCATCAAGCCTAGCTTTTTTTTCTCCCTCTTTGAGGTAGGGTCTTATACTATAGCATAACTTGCCCCGAAATTTATTACGTAGCCCAGGCTGGCCTTAAGCTTGTGGAGTTCTTACTGCCTCAGCCTCCTCAGTGCTTGGATTATAAGCATGGCATGGTGCCTAGCTAGCTTTTTGTTGTTGTTCTTCTTCATGTACTAAATTGAATTGTACCTGACAATTTGGCCAGTGGCTAATAGGCCTGATATCCCACAGTGTATAACAGAATGTGAATCCATTGAGATGAGGTCTTTGTGTGGTGCTTGTCACTTTATAACTGTCAATAATTTTTTTTTTTTCTTTGTCTTTTTGAGACAGGCTCTCCCTGTAGCCCCAGCTGTCCTGGAACTCACTATGTAGACCAGGCTGGCCCTGAACTCACAGAGATCCGCCTGCTTCTGCCTCCCAAGTGCTGGGATTAAAGGCGTGAGCCACCACGCCCGGCTTTTCTAGTCAATAAATTTTTAATGCTGGTGGGATTTGGAAATTAGTTAATAATTTGACTCCCTTGGGAGAGGGAGAAAAAAGTTTTCCCTTTTGTTTTCTTTGAAATATCTTGTATTACTTCTAGTTCATTTTTTTAGGTTTACAAAAGATACTGCAAGGTTCAAGGATGAATTAGACATCATGAAGTTCATATGTAAAGATTTCTGGACTACGGTATTCAAGAAACAAATTGACAATCTGAGGACAAATCATCAGGTATTTATAGTAATACCTTTTTGTGTGACTATCCTACATGAGTATAGTCTCTGCATTATTTCCATCCCTCCCAGTCCCCCTACTTCTTCTCAATTTCTTGTCCTTTTCTTTGATTATTATTGTTACATGTACATACATATTAAATGAGTTCATTTAATGGTGCTCCTGTGTACCTGTGTTTAAGGCTGTCCACTTGGCGTTAGATAGCCTCTGAGGGAGCTAGTCCTTGGACAAAACTGATTCTCCCTCTCTCAGCATCCATTGATTGCCAGTAGCTTTTCCTTAAGATCTATTTTTTTAAGTTGCTTAACTCAGTGTAATTGTCCTTTTTTTTTTTTTTTTTAACTTTTACAGACACCTTATTGAGAATTTCATACATGCATATAAGGTGTTTTGTTTTGATCAAATCCATGCCCACACTCTCCCTTCCAACAAATCACATATCTCCCCATCAATTTTTTCTTTTTCTTTTCTTTATTTTCTTCTTTATTTATTTTTATGGGGCTTTTGGGTACTCTAACATTCCCCTCTCTGAAGAGGTAATCCTAAAATCTTTTAAGGATTAGATATAAGCTCCCAAATACTTTTGACATTTTTAGCCTTTGGTACAAATTCCTAACAGTCCCAAGGACATTTTGACTTTTAGCCAAGAAACTGGCTACATTTCTTTGGGGTCTTTTTACCCTAACTGCCTAGCCAATTCCTACCTCCCATTCTTATCACTCCATCCTCTGAAGGGGTTACCCAAATTGCTAATAGGGAATAGGGACGCAGACTACTCTGACTTCCATGCTGAACAAGGACGCAGGGTGAGGCAGTTGGAGTCCCCTTCAGTGGGTCTATCTAAAAGACTCCCAAATTGCATAACTTATTTATTTTTTAATTTTTTATTTTATGTGTATGTTATGCCTGCACGTAAGTAAGTGCACCTGTGTCGTGCAATGCTCGCAGAGGACAGAAGAGGCTGTCAGATCCCCTGGAACTGGAGTTACAGACAGTTGTTAGCTGCCATGTGGGTGCTGGGATTCGAACCTGGGTCGTCTTCAAAAGCAGTCAGTGTTCTTAACCGCTGAGCCATCTCTCCAGCCCCCAAATTGCATAACTCTTATCCCTAAGGGGGAGAAAAAAGTCCTTGAATTGTGAATAGGAGATGTGAAGGAGAAGTAAAGAGTAATTAGCATTACAAGTTCTAGACA